AAGCCTAAGGACAACGATTGAGGTTTTGGCCGGCCAGCCTACTATTATTGTGCACATGTCAGGAGAAAGCGCTGCCTGGTCCTACGTTTTCCGAGGACCCTGCCGTCAGATTGTTTCCTGTGGGTGCAGGTCTTCCTTCGGGACCATTATGCTAAGAACCGCTGCATGATGGTGCCAACAGAATCTCGGAGGACGGCTCTTCGTGCTCTTCGCTGCTCAGAGAAATTGCACATGATCAAGAAGCTGCGGTGGGGCCAATCCACTGACTGGTGAACTCTGTACGGTGGCCAATGAGCAACGCAGGTGCCGCAAGGACGTGTCGAGCCGTTCGAAATCAAGGATTCTCCCGGCGATTTTGAGGACACCGCTGCAGGGTCATCATCAATCATCAGTTTTGAAATTATCTGCAGTGCTGTTGCATTGAGGAAAAGCCTGAAGAGGGTGAGTACGCCGGCGCTGAGGATGTGCCCAACCCCCGAGAGATGGGCCTTCGCACGCCCACCTCTGGGGTGGACGAGGTCCCTTAGCCATAACCGCAAAGCCCTAACCCTAAACGCTCTACCCCGGCCCGTGAACTGCAAACCCCAAACCTTTCTCCCGGAACCCCAACCCTAAACGCGTAGACCCCGAACCTTGTCGCAAAAAGTCTAATAGTCCATAAATCTAATAGAAATAATAATTGATGGTTGAAGACAGGCTGCTCCAGATGGTTGCAGAACCCCTGCGCGGAAGCACAAGGTCCGGTTCAAGCCGAGCCGCAATGCCAGGACGACTTGAGTTGCCTTCGGCAGGCCGTGAGCCCTGCGGAGTTCACCGAGTCCGAGGAGGACGAGGCGCTGATGTGTCTCTTGATGGAGGCTTTTTAAATGCGATCCTTCGGCAGGAACCGAGCCCCACCGACACCAATGCCACGACCCGCCGACTAGGCGACAGCCCGCCTCCCAAGAAGTGCAAAAATGCCAAAGCAAGGAAGCAGGAGAAGGTGGGATGAACGGGGGGGGGGGGTTGGGCATGTATGTCATGTTTGCCTGTTATGTTTGGCCGGACAGGCCGAGTATGTAAAGTGTGAAGAGGCTGGGTCGTGACTTGTGAGAGAGCGAAGGGCACGTGGTCGTTGGTTCACTTACAAGAAGCCTGTCAAGCCCAAGCCCAGAGTTCCGACAGCACCCGAAGCCCAGAACCAAGCTTCCAGCCACATTGAATTGCTCATTTGCAACTTGAGTAGTACTTCGTGGTAATAAGTAGTAGTAGTAGTAGTAGTAGTAGTTGTTGTTGTTGTTGTTCTAGCAGGTCTAAGTAAGTAGTAGACAGTATGGTAGTTGTAGACAGTGGTGGTGGTAGTTGTAGTACTAGAAGTAGTAGTAGTA